ATCCTCAGACTCATTGTCCTAAAGATATCACCAATCAGCCACCACAGTCTTCCAATAATCTCTCACTTCTTACCTGCTCCATAGAGTCCAAACTTGCCAATTTGGAAACCATCATCCTTTCTTTCTTATTTATCTATACTTGTCCCTTCTTATTCTACTCTCACACAGCTGCAGAAAAGCTTGCTTGGCCCTCACCATGAATTAGGAAAATAATACATGCCTAAAAAATTCCGAATTCCTTTTTTTTTTTGTATTTCTTTTTAAAATTTATTCTTAGTTTTATTTATTTATTTTTGGGGGTCCAGTGTGTTTTTTTGCAGCATGCATCCAGTATGTGATTATCAAATCATGGATAGAGACAAACATATCCATCCTCTTCAACACTGAACATTAGGTTATGAACATTCAATAACGGGTATGCTAGTTGTTATTGTTGTTTTTTGGATGTATAGCTTGTTAACGTGTGTTTGTACCACAGCAGAGTTCATTTTTTTTTCTTTTATTATGCTTCAGGGCACATGTGCACATGTGAGAGTGAGAAAGACAGAGGGGGAGAGAGAGAGAGAGAGAGAGAGAGAGAGAGAGAGAGAGAGAGAGAGAGAGAGAAGAGAGAGCAAGCATCCCCCGACAGGACCCAGCCACACTGCAATTCTTTTTCCTCTAATTCTCCATCTCATCAGAATCCTGGGTATACATGCATACCTCGCATGTAAGCCACAGGGCCAGGATTAAATTCTGGTCAGCCATGTGGGATATGGCTTCCTCTTAACCACTGAGCTAAGAGGCTGGCCCAGGATTCCAAATTCTAATGCAATCAATTGATTTTTTTTTTTTCACCACAGGGACCATCTAAGGGATGGAAATCCTCACACCGGGTCAATAGTACACAAGTGAAAAAAAACTTTTAGTTAACAAAGGATGTGGGATGTTCTTTGCTAAAACCAGGAAACTTCCAGGCAAAGCAGGAAGAGCTGGTCACCCTATCTGGGACACTGATAAGGATGCTGTTTGAGGATTTTCCTAGACACTGGGAGAGCATCACAAACTCTTCTCACTCCCATTGTTATATGAAGACAAGGGTAGATCCAGCAGGTGTGGAGTGGAGAGTTCCGGTCCTGCAGGAGCTGCCATCTTCATGTTATCTCCATGAAAGAACATGGACGTTTCTGTGCCAAGGATGATGTTCTTACCCATCACATGTTCCCCAAGGATTACCTATTTTTCCAAAGTTTTCTTCTTCTTGGCACTAAATTATATGGCTATTGTTATTCTCTATCACTCTCCCTGGACCACAGTTTGTCAAACAGTATAGGCATGAATGATGGGTGGTAGTAAATACTGGGTTCCACATGTATTCCTTTCACTGGGCTGTTGCACCCATCACTCAGTTACTCATATTGTTGGCCAATATTGGGTCACTATTGCCTCCTTCTCTGTAGAATTGCTGTCATTTGTTTTTGCTGCCTTACCCAGGAAGTTACCTGGGACCTAAGACAGTCCCAGGTTGAAGTCCTGGGATCTCCTTGTATATCCTTCACCACCCAGGGACAGCTAATAACTAATGACTAACTGACATGAGGTTACAAAAATTGGTTCTTTTTCCTCAAGATGGACCATGATTCATTTCTCAAAGCTCCCCATGGGCCAGGTTGAAATGAGTCTCCAGGTGAATTTTTTTTTTCCTGAGCTTTCTTATCCTGCCCTGTCCTGCATCGTTCACTTCCTTTTTCCTGAAAACACTCCCTCAGTATGTTTCTTGGTAGGTGACCAAATTGTCCTAATTTGCCTAGGACTTTCCTGTTTTTAGCAGTGATATTTATATGCCCTGAGTAATCCATCAGTCCCGGGAAAACAGGGATACTTGGTCACTCTACACTTAAACAAGACTCTATCTCGGGCCAGAACTTAACAAGAACCTGATCTAAAGCATCGGCTTACATCATGTATCAGCTGCAGTTGTGTGTGTGCTAGAATCATCTAGATAGTGGAATCAGTGGCCCGATGTAGGAACTGGGCAGGATCCCACTAGACCATAGGATATTTTTCTGTGAGTTAGAATAAAACATCTCTGTTTTCTGAAGCAGTGCCACTGGTATATGGCTTGGTAAACCATAGCTACCTTGTCATGGGGACAAAAGGCACTTTTTCCTCCGAGGGAATACAACTGTGTGCTAGGTGCAAGAGTTAGCAAGAAGAGTACAGACTGGATTTCTTCCCCCTTCACCAGCTGGACTTGGTGCTTTTGTGCAGTGCACATGCTGAGTGGTGAAGCATGGCAGCCCTGGAGTAAAGAAGTAAGAGCAGCCGTGACCCATGTTTTTTTTTACATCTTCTTTTTCTCTGCCATGTAAATGATATTGGAGTAACAAATTCAGATATGCAAGAATCTTGAACTTTGCTTAGGCTCTGCTCTACATAAAAGATCAAATGAAGCCAGCCACGGTGGTGCAACATAATACAGTGTTCTGCATTGTGAAGGCCACATGAGAAGGTCCCAGGCTAGAGTCCTAGGGTCTCCCTGTACATGCTGAGAGCATATGCCCTGTGCCCGTGATCCTGGCTGGCTGAGACTGGAGGTGGAGTTTAGGGTGAGGACCCTGCTGGAGTTGTTTCTTTTACTCTCTCACTCTTACTCATGGAAGAAATAAGCAAATCCACTTTAAAAAGGGACCAGTGGGTGGCATAATGGTTACATTGTTGGACTCGAAACTCAGACCTGGCAGCTTGAAAGTCATGCTGGGCACATATGCTTATGTGCCCCAAATCCTGGAGGAGAATGGGAGAGAGGGATTATGGCATGGCCATCCCACCCCCTCGCCGGGGCTGATTTCTAGCTTTCTGTCTCTCTGTCTCTTCAGCAAGTGCAGGCACCCTATATCAAAAATCTCTCTTTAAAAAATACACTTAAATAATGAAAAAAGAAAAAAGAACCAGAGACATAGGCAATTCAGCAAGTCAGGAGAAAAACAGTCTAGGAAAGTAAAGGTAATAAATCACCTCTTTTCTGTTGGTAAGAACATGAAATCTATTTGTGATTCTTCCCAAAAAGACTCACACCTTTCAAACCCTCTGTGTTCTGTCTTCCTCAAAGGAGTTGAGAGAACCACTTCTTTGATACTTGGTTAGCTTGGAATACATTACCACTGTCACTTTGAAAGGAGGCTTCTAAAAACCATGATCAACCTAAAAAGACTGGACACTAAATTGACCAAACAGAGCTTCTAGCATTCTCAGACAATGTTTAGCTAGCAATAAGAAATAGATATTTTTAAACTACCATTTTCAAGAGTTCAAGTAATTTTAACTCAATTAGGTTTATACATCATCCCTGGAGTGGAGTAAGTTTGAGAACCATCTTACTGCAACATATCAACTCATTTCAATAAATCTTCCCCCTCTTTATTTTAATATAGTGCTCTAAGTTATAGAGAATTATTTTTTTCCTTTTAGACTTTTTGGTATTCTTCCCATGGGAATGGAACAAAAAAGACATCCTTTAAAGTAACAAAAGGTTTAATGACCTGGGAGTGAACGAGGCCATGAAAGGAGTGAACTTTGCTTTGTTTCTAGTTGAGCATTACAGAAAGAGTGAATCTTTGCCAGATATCTTTCAAAAGCTTGGTGTTCAAACCATATCCAATAATACTGTAACTGGGTCATTACCCACACACTGCCAGGGCAGTGTTTCAAAAAGGACTGATACAATCTCATGGACAGTTAAAGTCGGAACTCCTCCCCTGACATCTCCAAAATCCATACTAGCTGACAAGAGTTATTTAACTTCTGGAGATGGAGTGAAGAGAACTGACTTAAGAAATCACCATTCATTGTGTCAGGAAACAGTTGCAGAATTTGCTGTGTTGAAGAAATCCAAAGAAAGTACTAAAGGAGGGTGTGCTTGGCTCCTGGACTTGGGAAACAGGGCAGAGGAAGTAAAAGAAAATACAGACACTACTCATGCAATATCCAGATGAATATTGTTCAGACAATTTTCACCAATCTCTGGATACCTTAATATTCCAAAGAATTTTACCAGGAAATTTATAAGAAAAAAAACTATAAGCAGAGCTTTAGTTATTCAACCTTCCTTCTATCTTACTCACCAAGATGGCTGGTCATCCTCACTCTGTCTCCTTTTCTAGTAGAGAACCCTGTTCCTTCCACAGAACTACCCAGTTAATAAATGTCTTACACTGTGATCTCACTTGGAATGATTTCCTCAAGCAGAGCTTGGCAGCTGAGGCTGCCTTTCACCTGTAATTTCAGTCACTCCAAGAATGGAAGACAATAACTCATCTCACCAAGTTGCTTGACTTATGAGCAGAGTCTCTGTTCCCAGCAGGTCAGTCAGACTGTGGCTCACTTCAGACAACCCAGATCTACCTAATCCTGGCACCACCATTCAGTCACTGGCTACACATCTATATGACCATAAACTGCAAAGGCAAATAAAACCCTCATTTCACTATAGTTGCAATGATTATAAGTCTGCATCCCATATTGAGTAGATTAGGGCCTCAAACTAGAGATAAATCTCTGTTGATTTTTTTAAATTATAGGTTTATATATACATATGTGTTTGTGTGTGTATTTTTATTTATGAAATTCTTAATAAAGCTACGTTTACTATTATGATGTCTTAGGGCCTCTGAAGTCAAATCATCTTGATATAATTCCTAAATCCACCGTTTGGGGCAACTTTTCAATTTCCTTATGCTTTAGCATCAGCTTCTCCACATGTAAAATGGAATAGCGCATGATGAATACTTATCACCATGTCTGACTCATATCAAATGATTTGGGTATATTTTCCAAACACTATTTTTTTCCCTAATGTTTACAGATCCTTGCTGAAAAAGCTCAGATTCATTCTCAGGGAAGGCGTCTCTTATGCTCCCAGTGTGGTTAGAGCACTCTCTGATATGTCCATATTGCATCATGTGTTTAGTTAATTAAGTAAGTAAGCACACATTTACTGAGTGTCTTCCCTGCGTCAGACCTACTAGGCAGTAGGAATATAGCAGTGAAAAAACAGACCTTCTCTCTGTTCTCACAGAGCCTATGGTCAAATCATAATCATATATTGCTTTATAATAGTAAGTTACTACGTGAGAAGAGGGAAAGGAACCTGATACATAGCAGGAATGCAGGGGAAGTTTTCTTTGAGTATAATGTTTGAAATGAGACCAACAGAACTGAGAGAGCATTCCAGGTAAGAGAACAACCCTGACATATCAGGAGCTGACACACATTCAAGAAATGGGCCAGGGTAATGAAACTGGAGAGAGAGAGACTGGTGTGAGATGGGGGAGGTCAACAGATACAGAAAATTCTGGGATACTGGCATTGTTAAGGATTTTATTTTCCCCTATGAAAAGTGAAATGTCATTTCCATAGGTGGTACATGATCACATTTCCATTTTTAAAATGTTACTCTGGTTGCAATGTGGGTACATGGGTAAAATATAGATTGAAATAAATACAAGGCAGCTAGTTTGGCAGTATTTTCCATGGCCCTGAGCTTAAATTATGATGGAAGATGAGAGGGAAAGGAATGAAAGAATTTGAGAAATATGGGGGCAGATGAAATTGAGACAAGTTAAGGAAAGAGGAAGAGAAAAGTGTTGAGAACAATTCCCAAACTTGGGACTTGTACAACTGTGAGTGTGTGTGTGTGTAGGGGGAATGCTGGTGCCATTCCTTCTGTTGGAGAACGCCAAGAGAGAACCACATTTGGTAAGAGTCCAATTCTGGACATGCTGAGTTTGAGACATTTGTGAGACATTCAATTGAAATGCCAGGTAAGCAGCTGGATTTACCTCGCTGGAACTCAGAGAAGTTTCAGGAGAGAAATGGGCATTGAAAGCTGTCAGCATATAGGATTAAGCCACGGGCAAGCTTGTCTGGGTGGGATAAAGAGCAGAATTGCTCGAGAAGGAGTTATGATACTGAGTTAAGTTTCTGCTTACTTTCTTCTCCTTCCCATCAGGGTGTAAGTTCCACGAAGGCATGAATTCTGTCTTTTATCTAAATTCCTTTGAGAATTCTTATCTTATGTATATGGAGGCAAATGGTTTTCAGATGCCATCATAACATTTCCAAGTAGTTTCTCTGAGCACATTTTATATAATTCTTATAAAATATCTTACTTTTTTTTTCCAATAACCCAATAATTCCCCAAATGCTCTTCAAAAGAGGAAGATGGGATTATTCTGAAGCTCAAAAACTAAACCAAAGACCTCTTCATGACAGAAATGCTCATTCATTCTTGTATGCATTCTTCTCTATTATTTAAGGTAAATAAACTGAACTTTTGAAACATATATATTTAGACATTTCTTGCTTAGGGGCCAGCAGGTGGAGTGGTAATTAAAGTGCTGGACTCCTACATGGTTGACTGCAATTCAAGTCCCGGAACTGGCAGCTTGCTTTCTCATTTTCTCTCTCTCTCAGAGTCTCTGTTTCTGTCTTGTGATCACACATGACCTATAGCAAATTTAAAATAATAATAATAATAAATAAATAAAATAAAATTTCTTAGTATAATAAAACATTATTTTTCTTTTATTTCCCACTCCAACATGGGTTGGTAAGAGAGGCTGAAGTGGCTGTCTCATGTAGCCATGCAAGGACCCGAGTTCTTTCTATCTCATAGTGGTGCTCTCTTTGAGGTCCTTGGAGACCTCTCCGTTCAGCTTATGGGTGGGGAAAGAGATAGTTGGAGAAGGAAGGTTTCTATGGACCAGTCCTAGAAGAATCATCTACCTAGTCTGCTGACATTCTATCAGTCAGTACTCAGATACATGTTCACACTTAATTCCAATGGAGATTAGAATAAATTAATCTAGCTGTGAGTGGGAAGAATGAAAAGTGCAGGTAGCGTGAACTCTGTCTCTCTCTACCTCACTCAGTAGGTGCCAAATAATCTATTAAACACTTGTGATTATACATTAAACATAGTAGATACATTTCCTGTTTTTGTGATGCCCGGGCAATGAGACAAATAATCAGAAGGTTTACTGCTGATGAGACCAGATGATGGTGTAGCAGAAATATAATGCACTATGAGACTAACACACATGGGAAGGTTCTGGGTTGACCATCAGAGGCTTCTCTGAGCACATTGGGCACATGTGCACCCATGTTTCAGGGTTGGCTGAGGCTGGGAGTGGATTGCAGCATGAGGACCCTGTTGGGGGGTGCTCTTTTTGTCTTTCTGTCTCTCTGTTGCTTTCTCTATCTCTTTGTCTCTTACTTATGAAAGAAATAAACCTAAAAAGATTTATAGTTTCAGGGAAGTAGTTTCTGGGATCAGGTAAGAGGGGCAATTAAGCCAGAACTGATGGGTTTTATCTAGTTCTTAGTGCATTACCTGGTATACAGTGGGCACTCAATGACTAGGGAATAACTTATACATAACCCCTTTCTGAGTTTACACTTTCCTCATGCAAGTCATTCAACCTAAACCCCATATATTAAAAATGTGGTCATCTGGAAAAGATATTAGCAATCACAGACAGCTAAAACAAAATGAAGGAAAGCCAAAATTGCCTTCAAGTACTAAATTTTATCAAATAGGAAAGATAATACCAAGTTCTAAAACATTAGAGAAGAAAGGAAAAATAATTTTCAATTAAGTTATCACTTTTTATAATGCTTTTCAGCCTTTTACCTTTAAATTCCTCAGATGAATGGCGAGCTCCCAAGAGGAAGCTCTCTGGTAAAATCCTACATTCTTCACAGGAGGCATAACTAGCAATGAATGACTTGGAATATAACAATTTTTGTTTGTTGCTTAGGCCTAACTATATACACAGAAATCACTGAAGTCCATTGTCTAAGCACTCAGATTTTGGAATCTGACCTGACCTTGATTCTTGAAACCACTGCTAGCTGGATTCCTGCTCCTAAAAATATTAAATGAGATAATATAAGGAAAATATAAGTGTTCTCCTGGGTTGCAGTGAACATGTGTTCATGTTGGATACTATCATTATTAGCCATATGAACCATGAAGATAGAAAATGGGACTTCTCTGACCACTAGGCGATTTCATCTATAACAATAGAGTCAAAGCTATAAGTCTAATTGCGATTTCCAGGTTGTGCAATAATAAAATAACAGGCCCAGTATAAAGCAAGTCTGAATAATTTAGAATCTGAGCAATCACTACTTTCTATCTGCCTTTTAATTTTCATTTCCAGCTAAGTGCTGTTTACTTTCCATGCTAGTTTCTGAATAAACACTTAAATTAAAATAAATGAAAGAGAAATTCTCAGGGCAATGTCTGGGTCCATGATTAATGCAGTATTGCATTTGCCCTTTAACATGGGGGAGACACCTCTGAAAGCCACGATTGATGGCTGCAAGGAACAGAAGATGCACTCCAACTGTACACATTTCCTGAATGATCAGCTTCCCATGACCTTCATATAAAACCCAAAGGTATTTATTGGCCTTGTGCACGAGCACATCTCAAGCGAAGGCAGCTGCCTTTCCTTGCAGTGCAAGTGAAAGGTTTTAGATTAGGAAGCAGATGAGGTTAAATTACTTCATTATTTACTCATTGGGGGAAAAATCAATTTCTGGAATATAATCCTATTGACCTGACTGGCACCGACCAGGAGCATAAGTAATTACAACCCTAAAATAAATATCCGTTCATACCTTGAAAAGGCTCCTACACTAACCATTCTCCTTTATGCATTAAGGGTATCAAATAACAATGCAAACCAAACTCAAGGCTAATGGGCCTCTTTTTTGAATATGTCACTGAAACGGGTTGGCGAAAATTCTGTTTATACTCTTCTGACCTTGTGAAATTCACACATTATATGATCAAAGCTGTGTATTTCCTGTCTCTAGTTAATACTAAGATTATTATGTTGCCAGACAATATTGAAACAACAGACACCACAGAAACAAAAAAGTAAGCAAAATACACTAAGGAATTAGCGTGTTCACATCCAATCAGCAACAAATTATGATGTAGTACAATACGCATAAGCAATTTCAGTCCTATCTCTAGAGCTGGGATCCATAATGATCCAGTCCTACTTTCTTTCTCTTGGAAATTAGAAAATACTTTTCCTTCCAGGTTTGTCCTTTAGCAAGGATGTCCTAAGCTTCCATCATGTTGAATTTAGCCTTGCAAGGATTTTTAATTAACGGCGATGATCAAAAAGCCATGATTTATATGCAAGAAAGATGCCCTATTTTATCTTCTTTCCCCAGGCTATGATATATGGATGCTTCTAATAAGCCAAAGATAAAAGTGGTTTGGACCAAAAAGCACCTATTTTCTCAAAGATGCACATTAAGACCGCAGCTGTCAACAAGGGAATAAAGTAGAGCCCAAGCGACAGAAAATATAAAGGAAGTAAAAAATGATCAAGGTTTAGTTTATGTATTTATGATAAGACCGTATTTTTCCCCTAGAATTATTTCATTTCTACTCCAAGTAAAGCACTGTATTTGAAAACTAGTTTGGTGAGGGGTTATATGAGGTATTTCAAGTAAGGTGATTCTGTCTTAAAGAAAGATTCTTAATTTTACCCATTCAAGTTCATGCTGCTTATGAGTCTATCCACTTATTGCAATGATATTATTGCTGTGCCTGGAAATATGGCAGCATCTCTTTTTCTGGTGTATTTCTCAGAGACATAGTGGCATATTTTTCTGAATACATGGAGTGTTGGCAAAGCATGGTATTTTGTGGATGGAGTGAGAATCTGAAAACCTAGCCTCTGGTCATAGCTCTGCTATAAATTAACTAGTTGACCTTGTGCTGTCACTTAATCTCTCTGGGGTACGGTGTACTTTTACAACATTACTGCCAAGGATCTTTCGAGCTATAAAGTCATATACAATTTTGTGACTTGATATTTGGAAACAACTGGAAATTACTGTTGTAATTGGAGATACATTGTTTATTTTTACATTATTTTTATTTCTTTTTCCATGAACAAGAGAGACAGAGAGACAGCACCCTTATTTGAGTCTTCGTGCTGTGATTCACTGCAGTGTCAGGCCGCTCTGAATCACAAGCACATGCACACCTGACATAGTCTGGAGGTCTCTGGACATGAACCTGGAACTTTCCCATGGGTCAGCCTTTTATTGCTGTGCCATTCTCTGGCCACAAAACTAGGGAAATATTATTTTATGCTTAGGAAGACAAATTCTTATAAAGTCAGTCTTTCATTCAACACATATATTTTTAAAATTTATTTATTCCATGGGAGAGAATGAGACAGAGAGAGTAAGCAAGAGAGAGATAGAGAGAGAGATAAGCACCCCAATAGGATCTTCATGTTGCGATCCACTCCCAGCTTCAGTCAGCCTGAATCATCAGTGTGTACAGGGAGTCCTTGGGATCTGAACCATGTACTTTCCCTTACTAATCCAGTCTTGCAGGCTGTTGTATTGCCACTGTCCTACTATCTATTCCCTAAACAAGTATTTTTGAGTGCCCACTGTCTGCTAGGACCTTTCCTTAGTGCATGAGGTATATCAGTGACCAAAATAATAAGCATTGTCTTTATGGAATTTAACTGCTAATTGGAAGAGACAGACAATAAACAATGAATGTTAAGCAGTAAGTCAATTATATAGTATTCTAATACATGGTAAATACAATGGAAAAACTGAAAATAGAATAAGGTAAGGAGAATGGGAACATGAAATTTGGGGGACTGGGATGGGGTAGACTGGTGGTAGTACTGTTAATAAATAATGATCAGAAGACAATCTCATTAACAAGATTTTGGCTTATGCAAAGACTTGGGAAAGAAGAGGGATTTAACAAAATGACGTCTAGTGGATAAATTATTCAGGCAAAGGCATAGCTAAAGCAAAGGCCTTGAGAAGGAGCAGAGATGTCAATGCAGCTGGAGCTGACTGAGCCATAAGCAAGTGATAGGAGAGGAGGTGAAAGAGGTAGTAGGGCTGGTTATGGAGGGCATGGTGAGCCACCCTATGGACTTTGGCACGTGTTCCAAGTGAGATGGGAATCATTCCAAGGCCTTGAATGTAGGAGTGCTATGATCTTACTTACATTTACAGAAGACCACTCTGGATACTATGTTGAGAATATTTAGAGAGGAGACAAAAGTAGAAGCAGTCATACTATGCCATTTTTGTTTATGTGTTTTGTAATATGCCTATAAGCTGATAACAAAAGGTTTGCAACAGTGCTTTGTGGAAGGTGTGATGGAAGAATTGAATAATTTCAAGTAGTATCCAGATTCATAAATCCTGATGAATTTGTAACAACATAGTTGCAACAGTTATATCCTATACATCTCTATTTTGTATACTCCCATGACATTCTGCTTAGGTTGATGATCAAAGTTTTAGAAATGAAGAAAATAATTATTCTTTTAAATTATTATTAGGTATATGGTAAAATCTTTCAGGTCAGAGAACTATAGCATCTCGGGGGAAAATGGTCACTTATTCATAATGGAAAGGTGACTGTTCTTTATATTCCCATGCCTTTGAACGACTGTAAAGTATCTTTTCCAACTTTTCAAAGTGTTTCCTATTGTCTTACCTTGCTCTTTTTATAACAAACTGCCCTTCTCCAGTCGTGTTCAATAGTCATTAAGCCCACTACCATTCATTCCTGCCTTAGAAGGAAATTAATATGACCTCTAGATTATCTAGTGAAACTATGATTCTGGCTTTAACAAACAACATGAGATCGTGGCCCTGCTGGTGGTTGTCAGAACATAACCTTGAACTCACAATTGCTCAGTGACTATCACAAGCTTGGCTAAGATAAACTTGTTTGAAATACTGTCAGTACATCCTGTGTTAGAAGTTTAAATCAGTGTCATTCAATAGAATGTTCTGCAATGATGGAAACATTCTTTATCTATGCTAGTCAACACTGTAGGAGCAGACCAAATGGTTACTGAGAACTTAAAATGTGATTAATGTGACTGAGGAATGAAATTTTTAACTCAATTTAATTCTAATTAAGTTAAATTCAAATACAAGTAGCCTCATGTGGCTATTGTATCGAATGACTCCATTCTAAATCCTTTTTCTAGATTATGGCAGACTCTCCATGATATATTCCTTACCCATATTATCTCCTAGAAGTGCTTCTCTTGAATCTTCTTTTGTATTACACCAGAGTCATTCATTAAGCACATTTAGAAGAAGTAGTACTATGAAATCCAGTACTATATTCTCTAAAAGGAAGCTGTTGAGGTCATTAATAATTGTGTTACGTAGATAGTACCTTATTATTCTGGCTTCAGTACTAGGAAAAGGTATGGTTTCTCTGAAAAGCTTGTCTATATGATGTAATTCACTGTTTCATCGTTGCACTTGCTGTGAGGCAGCACAGAACTGAACTGATGGCCCATCTCTAGCAATTACATACGATACAGAGCCTCTTGTGCTGGTTTTACTTTTTCTTATTTTTAAAATTTTACTTTTAATGTCATCATCTTACATTTCTGTTCTTTTATCCTCTTTACCTATTTTCATGCAATATTTTAAATATTACCTGATGCTATTGCATTCATTTCTGTATTATAGAACCAAGCAATATAAAAATAAGTTGTAACTGCCTTTTGGAAAATGTACTCAGTATCTTTCTTCAAAGTGATGACTTCCCAAACCTTTCATTATTATCATTTTCTTTGCTTTTCTCTAAAGGATTTCCAAATTCTACATATGTCAATTGTCGACCCCAAACTGAAACAGGACACTCAAAGCATCCAAGAGACAAAAATGAGAATAAAAAGAGAATAATCTTACATGTAAGTAAAATTAAATAGCAATTTATTTATTTCAATACCATGCTTGCTGTTTTACTAATAAATTTTGATATTTTTAAAGTTCCATATAAATATATATTTGTGAAGACTTTGAGTTATATTAAGAAGTTAGCATGTCCTCCAGGGTTGAGAATATGTTTGATTCTTTTAGAAAAAAATAAATATTTCAGAAAATGTACCAGAGTAATTTTTTTCCTTTGCTTTCTTTTTTTTTTTTTTTTTTTTTTTTAGAGGTTTTCTTTTTGGGGGC